CTTTGTCTCTCCATTTTAGGTGACTCTTTTTTTTTTTTTTTTGTTTCTGCATCTTGGGTTTTTCTGCTTTGCCTGCCTGTCTTTGTGGAGTGGACTTCTGTGGTAGGAGTTCTTTAGGACTCAGTGGTGCAGTCTGTTTGATCACCTGATCTGGATGCTCTAGGAATGCCTTTATTCAGTTTATGTGGGCTCTCTTGTTGTACTTGGGCTTTGATTATTAGTGGCTCATTCATTGGTGGGTTCTCCTCTCCAGCTGGCTGAAATGGAGTCACAACTCCCGCCACATCTTGTATGCTTTTATACAGGTGCTGGCAGAACAAGGCAGCTACCTAGAAAACCAAAGCCACACCAGTAAAAATAACCCCCTACTACTTCAGCTATATCAACAGCAATTGGGCAAAGATTAGTAAAGGTGGAGAGAGATTAAGAGTTTTATAAGATAAAAAAAAGAGTATGAGATGACTAAAGGAGAGAAAAGTGATTTTGAGTGGGATGGGGGAGGAAAAAATAGTAAGAATAGGAAATAGAAACAAGGCAAAGAAAGGGAGAAAATAAAATTTAAAATGTAAGTAAAACAGGAAAGGGTGACAGCAAAATGGAGTAAGAAAAGGGAAGAGTATACTATGTGGTTTGAAATAAAATTGAAAAGGTAGTGAACCAAAGGGAATAAAAATTGCAGAAAAACCACAGCAGCATCAATAACAACAACAGCTGAGCAGAGGTTAATAAAGATTGAGAGAGAATGAGAATATTTTACAAAAGAGAAAAGGAAATATAAGTTGACTATAGTAAAGAAAAATGATTTTGAGAGGATGGGGGAAGAAAAAAATTAGAGTAAGGAATAGAGTCCAGCCTAAGAAAGGAAAAACAAATAAAATTCCTAATTCAAATAAGCAAGGGCAGGAGGAAGACAAAATACAGTAACATAAGGGTGAGATATGAAATTAAAAAAAAGTAAATAGGAATACCATTGAAGATAAACAGCAATAACTGTAATATCCTTGCCAAACAAGCCACAATTTATAAAGGTGGAAAGGAAATAATATTATGAGGGACAAAGGGATATGAGATGACTGAATGAAGGAAGAATATTTTTGAGAGGCTAGAGGGAGTAGAAATAGGAAGAGTAAGGAACAGAAACAAGGCATAGCAAGGGGGAAAATAAAATTTACAATGAAAATAAGAAAGGGCAGGAAGATGGCAAAATGGAGTAAGACAAGGGAAGGGTACAATGTGAGATTTGAAATAACAATAAAGTAAAAAATAATATAAATTCTAAATAAAAATAATAAAAAAAGACAAAGAATAGCGAATTAGTTTGAATGCAGTTGAAACAAGAGAAGAAATATTAAAAGCCTATGTGAAGGGAAGAAAAAATGCAAATTCTGAACAACAATGAGGTGAAATTCATCTTAGCAGTTCGGTGTTCACCTTCTGACTTCTCTTTTCTGGATCCACCTCTGGGGTTTTTATCTGCTCAGGGTCCCGGAGTGTGTTGTCCAACTTTTGACAGCACTGCCTGTATCATACTCACCTGCCTCTAGAGGGAGCTTCTGTTACAATTGGGGAGGGGCGTGGGACCCCTAGGCCTCCCCTGGGAGGCCCTGTTCAGTCCTCTGTGAAACTATGGGTGCCTTCCTCCTGCTCCTGCACCATTCTTCTTGGTCTGTTTCAGCTTATTTCCAATAATGTATAGTTTCTGATGAATTACCTGTCTGTTTCAAGGGCAGGACCAATCTGTGTAAGAGAGTCAGCTCTGTCCTGCTTGGTGTTGATGGCAGCTCTGTGTACGATCTGAGGCTAGGCAGGACCCTGTTTCTCCCTTGCTGCTTTGCTGGTCTCAGTGAAATAGGGCCCTAGGAACCAATGTATTTTGTTTCCCTGAGAGAAGTTCAACATGGGCCCTTTAGGCGTTTCTCTTGCTGTCTTTTTCTTGCGGAAATGCACCCTTCAGGGGGTTCTTGAGCTGGACCTGCCTATTTTGATATTCCCTACTGGAGGTGTTTTCAGTCCTGCAGGAGGTGGGAGCTGGGTGTGTCTTCTCCTTCCAGAGGTTTGATCTCACCAGGGCAGGGGGCTCTCTCTGGCTTTACATAATCTTGGGTGCTCAACTCTTGCTCATCCAGTTCCCAACCCACTGCCCTCCCAGAAGACAGAGTCTTTCACTCTCCACTCTGTGCAGCCTCTGCCCTGCCAGCTGCGCTGGGCTTGGGCCAAGAAACCCTGTCACTTTGCATCTTGCTGATTAATCTGCCCAACTGCACTTAATGGGAGCAAACTACACCCTCAGTCCTTTCCCCTTGCTGGCAGGGCAGCTGCATGCAGGGTTATGCCCAGCACACCTCAGCTTCTCTTTGAAAAAGTCTCTTTGGGCACTCCCACTGCAGCACTGTGTCACTATCTGGCTTTCTGTACACACCCCCTCTCAAAAAAATCAAGAGTCTCTCACAGTCATGGCTGGCTGCAACCAGTCTCCCTTGCCAGATGCAGGTGCAGCTAGAATGATACTCTCTCCCAGTCAGTGTTTGCCGCTGCAACTATAGGTGTGCTGCTCACTGTGTGTGTGTGGGTGGGGGGGGGCCTGGAGCTCCCCAACTTTGTGTATCCAAGTCACCCCTACCCAGGTCTGGGGGTTCTCTGCCCGGTGAGGGGAAGGAGTTGCAAAACTGATTTTTGACTAGTTTCTGTGCAGCTGCAGGTTGCCACGCATGGGGTATTTCCCCTTCAACCTATGAAATCTCCTTACCACCTATTGTGAAGTGTCTTCTCTACTCCTTGGCTTCCAAACTTCATATCAGTTAGGATTCTGTTGAATATTCAGTTTATTTTTCAGAAGATAAGCCAAGTGTCCAAGTTGCGGGCAAGAGCAATTGGACTTGGCTTCTACCTACTTGGCCGCCAACTTCCATCCCTTTTGAGCATTCTTATAACCATTGTTTTCAACTCTGTGTCTGGTAAACTTCTTGCCTCCATTTAATTTAGTTATTTTTCTGGGGACTTCTCTTGTTCTTTCATTGAGGGAATGTTTATTTCCCCCTATTTTGGCTGCTTCTCTGTAATTGTTTCTGTGTGCCAGGCAGATCTGCTATGCTTCCCAGCCTTGGTATGGTGCCCTTATGTAATAGGTGTGTGTGTGTAGGGGGGCTCAGTGGTTGGATCTCCCTGATCACCTAAGCTAGTTGCTCCAGGAATGTCCTTTTCGTGGGTTGTGTGAACCCTCCTGTTATAGTTAACTCTTGACTGCTGCCGGCTTGTTTGTGGATGGGCTTGGCCCTTAGGCGAGCTCTCTGCATAGACTCTGACTATTGTGTGAGCTGCTGTGCAGAGGCTTACCCCACAAAGCAGGTTCAAGCCTCAGGGTCTGGTATCTTCTGAGATCTTCCTTTGGGTGTGCCACTAGTAGAGCTAATTGGGTCATGCCGTGATGTGGTCTGAATCCTGCTACCAGGTGTATTGGCTTTGGGGCCTCTTGGGAGGAACTCGGGTGCAGATCAGCCATAGGCACTGTCTGTGGCTGGTCCCTTGGCTACCTGCTTAGAACTACAAAGCAATCCACAGTCTTCGGATGCCTCTGATGTGTTTGGGTGTGCATGGGAGGGGCCAAACTCTGCACCCAGGTTAGCTTCCACCAGCACCAAGCCCAGGGACAGGTCATCAGAAGGCACAAGGCACCCAAGATTATCCTCTCCTGCTGGCTGCCTATTAGACTTAGTCACTGAAAGAGCCTCTCGTGGTATGTGAGTTGTGTTAGGGTTTTACGGTGTTACCAGGTATGGACCAGTGGCATACACCAGGTTGATACAGATTCAGATCTGGCACCAATGATGGGACTGAGGCCATGCAGCAAAAGCCTCAGGGGAGCCACCCTGTGGGTGCCCTCAGACCTTTGTAGTAGGGTGGGGTTTCTGGGAGTTATCAGGGTGAGGGCAGCAGAGTATACCAGGCCTAAACAAACCAAAATCTGGCTGTGTAAAGGGAGGGCTGTGCCCAGGAGTGGTAGTGCCAGGTTGGCCTGTGAGGGAACAATGGGCCCTGCCCTGGAGACACCACAGTCTCTTCATTCCTGAGTGCCTTCTGAGGGCGTCCTCGCTGAGGGCCCAGGCTGGCCACTGCCAGCTGCCTCTTCTGTATGGCCTGAGCTTAGCAGGGCAGGACCACCAGGAGTTCAGAGGGCGGGCTAGCAGATTTCCTATTTGGGGCTGTGCTGGTGAATTCTCACTTGAAGTGTGAACTGACCATATGAACCTTCACAGTTAAATGTTTTTAGGAAAACTCTTCTCCCTGCCCCTTTGATTCAGTGGTAAGGGTACATCAGCATGTTGATTTGCTGGCCATTTCTGTGCAGTGAGGATGTGCACTATTCATTGAGATAGCCTTGTGCTGCACCCTACAGGGTATTTATCCAGTCCTATTTTATTAGCCCTTGTTTGTAGGTCTGTTCCCAGTGTCCTTTAGTCTTCACATTCTATGTTGTCTTTAGATTTGAAACTCAGTACCTCCAGACTTCATGAGAGTTCCTCACGGTAAATGCTAGTTAATGAGTTAACTTGCTGGTTATGGTGGTTTATCTTTTTCTCATTGTTTTGTAGGAATTCTTTATATATTTTGGATACTGTTTCTTTGCTGGTTATATGGATTTTGATTATCCTGTGACAGCTCTGGCTTTGACTTTTGTTTTTGCTCTTTTGTTATGTAGATGCTATCTTAGTTACCTTTTTTACTGCATCACAAATTATCCCACACCTTAAAAGCTTAAGACAACAAGCATTTATTATCTCTCAGTTTCTTCCAGTTAGGAGTCCAGGTATGACTTAGCTGAGTTCCATTGGCTTTCTGTCTCAATATTGCAGTGAAACTGTTAGTTGGGACTGTGGTATCCTGGAGGTTTGACAGGGAGGGGTTGGTTCCTCAGGGTTCAGGTCATGACTGGGCTGTTGGACTGAGGGCTTGGTGCCCTCTGGCTTCTAGCCAGGAACCTCCATCAATTTCTTGCCCTTTAGGCTTTTCCCTTGGAGAGTTCAGAACATTGTAGCCAGCCTCCTGTGGAGTCAGTGAATGAGAGAGGGGGAAGATGGTGTGCAGAAGACCCAAGTCCCAGTCTATTTGTAGCCTAGTACCAGGGAGTGAACACCAGGAGGTAAGGATCTTTGGGGCACATTGTAGAGACTGTGTACTACAGATTTGCTAGAAGTTTGATGTTAAAACTTATCCATCTTTAAGTTTTTGTGTTTTCTATAAGACACTATTCTGGTCATATTGCAAAGATGCAAGGAAAATATGACCAGCAACAGTGAAAGGAAAAGAAATCAACAGAGATAAGAGGGAAGGGGGGGGCAGGGAAAGGGAAGGGAAGGGGAAAGTCAAGGGACATATAGCAAGGACTCATGGACAAAACCAAAGGGGAAGAGCTGAGGGAGGGAAGGAGGGAGGGGGCAAGGGAAAGTGGTAGGGGGGAGGCAGAGACAAATGTATTTAAAAAGTAAATAAATTAAAAAAATAAATAAAATAAAAATAAAAAGCTAACCTGAAATCAGAAAAAAAAAAAAGACACTATTCTGTGGCATTAATATACTTTAAAAGTGTAATGGCTTTGCTTTTTCACAATTAGTCCTTCAAGCATTTAAGACTTTACAGTAGTCAACAGTCAGCCACACAGGACTATTTAAATGTAAATTAATTCAAATTAAATAAAATTAAAAATTCAGTTTCTCAGTTACACTAGTCACATTTAAATGCTTAATTTATAACCGTGTGTGGCTCAGGGCTACCATTCAGGACAGCGTGGATGTGGCACACTTTCTTCATTCCTGTGAGTTGCATCAGTAACACTCAGTATTTGTCAGTCATTTGGCCCCCCAGGGACACTTGGCAATGCCTGGAAACATTTTTGGTTTTCGCCCGGAATGCTGTTAAACACAGGACAGCTTTCTACAACAAAGACTCATTTAGTCCAAAATCCAATGTTTTTGACCGTGGGAAATCCTGCCGTAGAATATATTTTGTGGTGACGTGTGAGATGAGGGAGCTTGTTCTTTTCCTTATAACTAGCCAACTAGGCACCATTTTCTGTGGGTGCTCAATCCATTTCCCTCTGGCTGACGGTGAACCTTAAGCTAGAGATGTTTTTGCCTTAAGTGGTAGAGATCTTAATACTTTGCTAATTAAGATGCAACTTAGAAAATCAACTTCTGTTGTCTTACAGATTCTTAGACTCTATACGTAAAGACAAACCCGTGTTCCCCGTTCATCATGGCTTCAACTTCAAGGTAGGAGTGCTGTTTGATAAAAGACTTATGAAAGTGATTATTCCTTAGTTTTTGAAAGGGCCAACCCATGGTGTTTTAGCCCTTCACCCTGCTAGCCTCACTGAGCACTTGGTGTCCAGGAAGCACAAAGCAGGGAGAGTGAGATGGGAAGGGAGAAGATTAGAGAGAAGGGGCAGATGAGGAAGTGCGCATGGTGCAGGTATGGCTATGTAACTCCACTGTGTGCACTTGATCGAAAAATGTGATTTACTTATAAGACAGAGACAGTTGCCCCTGGGGCCACCTCAGTGTAGGCTTTCCCGACTCCAAGGGTTAGATAGCCATGTGCAGAAGTTGTTTGAAGACATTGGGGCAAGCAGTAGCTCACTTACTGAGACTGGCAGACACCTTGACTGGACCTTGGTCTACTGCTACGAACTGAGCAAGGCCAAAGAAGGCATGATAATGGCTGCTGTTCCCTGAGAACCTGGCTCATGCACAGCTCGAAGAATATCTTACTGCCCTAGAGGTCAGACCTATTCTGTAACCTCCGTCATGGGGGCTGATACAGTGTCTGGGAAGGGAGGTTGGAGTGAGTCTTAAATGAAACCTGAACTCCAGAGCTTAAGGGCAGGTCTGCAGAGAAATAGCCTCCAAGGTAAAACCTACATCCTCATTCTGGGGCACGGCTCTTTTATGTACGTATGGGGTTCAGAAAGGACACAAAGGCCAGAGTGATGTGTCTGACCCCTTACTATTCTGCTTCACCTGCTGGCAGGCTTCCTGTGACAACTGAACACAATCTGAAGTCCTGATCAGGGCCCCTGAAGCCCTGTGTGACCCAGGCCTGGCTGCCTCTGCTCTCCTCTTCTCCCCTCGTTGCATCTGTGGCCTCGCCGGCCTCCTTGCTCCTCACAGATCAAGTCCTTTAAGGCTCAGGGTCTTGAGCTTGCAGTTCTTTCTCTCTGCTTGACACTCTGCTCCCAGTTATCTGCAAGATGCACTTGGTAACTTTCAGATCATCCTCCCTGTGAGCCTTCGTTGCCAGCCCTCCTTCTTCAAGTTGCACTGCCAGCCCCCCTTCTTCACTGCATTCTCCGTCCTGATCCAGGATGACCCTTGACACGACCTGATACCACTTAGCAGGCTGCTTGGTTGCTGATCTGTCATCTGTGTCCTCCAGTTACAAGCTCTAAGCAGGTTGGGAGTGGAGTATTCCCACTGTCTCTGAGCAGTGCCTGCTCATGAATAGTATTTCCTATCAGCCAAGGGATAGTTGGTATATAAAGGTATCCATGTTTTCAAAGTGCATTATGTTTTGAAGTGCATTTAGTGTGTAGTGAGATACCTCATATTGAGGAGTCATCTGAAGATGTGTCTCAGTCTGTTCAGGTCCTAAGCTCGGGTAGTAAGAGTTCATGTAGTGGAAGTTTCAGAATTTGGGAAGTGAGACTTGTCATTTCCCCAAAAAATAAGAGAAAGGGAAAACACAGGTAAGACTGGAGCATGAAGCATAGCGGCTGGGGCCACTGAGTGGGTATCCCTTCAGCAGTCCACTGATTACTACCCAGGTGATGGCGTTGCATCTGGACTCACTGGTAGAGGGCATCCTGTATTTGGGACACTTTATTTAAGAAGAGAAGGAAGTCTGGAAGGTCTTCCATTATTAAAATAGTTGTAATCTGTGTTTGTCTGGGAAATTCCCTTACCTGGCACTGTGTCTGGGGTGCCATGTTTGCGATGCTGTTTAATCCCAGGGGCTGTGCAGTGGCAGCGCCTGCTTCGCAAGGATTGCATTAACAGGGTTGTTGCTGAAGCACTGTCTCCCCGACGTGGACTCTCCCCATTCTGTTTCCTGTTATTGCAGTGGCCTCACTGCTGGGCGAGGTGTCAGCCCAAAGCTGAAGTCTGTGAAGGTGCTTGAGGTTCTGAAAGCTCTGGAGGAGGAACCTGGCTGCATCAGGGAAGAGATCTTTATCTCCCCACCTGACAGTGCTGCAGGGGACTTCACGGATGAGGACTCCGGTGATGAAGATGGCCAGCAAGGTGCCCATCTGCCCAGCAGTGTCCTGCATGCCTCTGTTGTGCCTGAGGGTGACAGCCCAGGGGAGGAGGAGGACCTGCTGCTACAACCAGCTGTGAAGAAGCAGAAGGCAGTAGTGGAACCTCAGCGAGTTTGGACCAAAAGAGATATCCGACCAGACTTTAGCCTTTGGATGGGGTTAGATCCTCATATGGAGGATCTCAAAAGCCAGGAACTGAGTCCTGTAGGCCTCTTTGAGTTGTTTTTTGATGAAGGAACAATTAATTTTATTGTTAATGAAACCAATCGTTATGCTTGCCAGAAAAATGTCAATCTGGGTCTCACAGCTCAGGAACTTAAGTGTGTTTTGGGCATTTTGATTTTAAGTGGGTATATATCCTACCCCAGGAGAAGAATGTTTTGGGAAACATCTCCTGATTCACATCACCATCTTGTAGCTGATGCAATTAGAAGGGACAGATTTGAACTGATATTTTCATATCTGCATTTTGCAGATAACAATGAGCTGGATGAAAGTGATCGGTTTGCCAAGGTTAGGCCTCTTATTGTCCGAATGAATCGCAATTTCCGGCAGCATGCACCGTTGGAAGAGTTCTACAGCTTTGGCGAGTCCATGTGCGAATACTTCGGGCACAGGGGGTCTAGGCAGCTGCCCACAGGGAGATCCGTGCTGCTGGGCTGTAAGATGTGGTGCGGCACGACCAGCCGGGGGTATCTGGTGTGGTTTGAACCCTCGCAGGCCACGCTGTTCACCAAGCCAGACCGGGGCCTGGACCTGAGGGGCAGCATGGTCATAAAATTTGTAGATGCACTTCAGGAACGTGGTTGTCTGCCATACCACATATTTTTTGACAAGGTTTTTACAAGTGTGAAACTGATGTCCATTTTGAGGAAAAAAGGGGTGAAGGCCACAGGAACTGTATGTGAATACAGGACTGAGCGATGTCCCCTTAAAGATCCCAAAGAACTCAAGAAAATGAAGAGGGGTTCCTTTGATTACAAAGTGGAAGAGCATGAGGAGGTCATTGTGTGCCGCTGGCATGACAGCAGTGTCATCAACATCTGCTCCAATGCCACCGGCATAGAGCCGGTGGGGCTGTCCAGCCGTCCATCTGGAGCAGCCAGGGTACAGAGCCAGGTCTGCCAGCCGTCCCTGCTGAGGCTGTACCAAGAGAAAGCAGGGGGTGTAGGGCGCATGGACCAGAACATGGCCAGGTATAGGGTGAAGATACGAGGCATGAAATGGTACTCGAGCTTTATGGGCTACATCCTTGATGCTGCTCTCAACAACGCATGGCAGCTGCACAGGATCTGCTGCCGTGACTCACAGGTAGACCTCCTTGCGTTCCGCAGGTATGTGGCCTGCGTATACCTGGAGAGCAATGCCAACATGACGTCCCAGGGAAGGCGGAGCCGGCGGCTGGAAACTGAGAGCAGGTTTGACATGATTGGGCACTGGATTGTACACCAGGACAAGAGGACCCGGTGTGCACTCTGCCACTCACAGACCAACACCCGCTGCGAGAAGTGCCAGAAGGGTGTGCATGCCAAGTGTTTCCGGGAATACCATGTCCGGTGATGTGTGGGCAAAGAGACCCCTGATGATGCCTGGCAGGGGGAGCTCCAGTGTCTGCTGTATAGTGAGATGTACAGCAGTTGGAGCACTTGTGTTTTATTTGAATTGCAAAAAAGAGACCTAAACAGGTGATGAATGATGTGGTATTTTCTCCCCATCTCCGTAACACTTATCTTTTCCTTTAAGTTTATTATGCCCACATATAATATAAATTAACATTTATATTAATAATCATAAATGTTTGGAAATCTATATGTTTTGTTACATTATGTTATTTATGTATTTTTCTTATTCAGAAAAATCTTGCTTTGGGATATAGCTGCATCCTAGTAAGGACGATCATATGTAACAAAATCCTTTAGAGAAACTTTCATGAACAATAAAATAGGTTTCACAATTGTGTTGTAATGATTATAATGTAAGATATAGGCAATAGTATATAAATCCTGTATCAATATAATGAAGGATATGTTAGTTATACTTATTTCACTTTAACTCAATGCTACCAAACTGTCCAGGCATAGATAATCTGCATTGTATTTATCCAGAGGGCTACATTTGTAGTTTGTATTTTCTTGATAAAAAATATTTTCCTAATAAATATATATCCATGTGGAATTCACTTTTTATAAATAGTATGAGGTGTAAGGATCTGTTTTTTTCCCCCTCAGATGGGTGGTTTGCATAATTATTTGGCCACTGATGTAAGTTCTATCTTTAAAAGTTTCTGAAATCAGGAAAACTATTGAAATCTAGGAAATATTTTTTGTTGGAAAACCTAATGGAATATATTGCAGAAAAATAAAAAATTAAAAATATTTAAAAAAAAATACAAAATAATTTGGATCTATCAAAAATCAAAGAAAGCATGTTGAATATTTTTCTCTTTGTTTGGGAAAGAACTTTCTATAAGCACAAATCAAAAAGGAACACGTCAGTATATTTGACTGTATAAAACTATAAAATTGACTTTCATTATCAAAGTTAAAATGCAACGAAATTGAGAAAACACTCCAAATTGTTACATTTGTAGTAGTATCCTCAGTGAATTGAGATTTCATAAAAACCTAGATGACAAAGGTAAAATGTACAATGTTATATAAAAAGACAAATGATGGAAGATGTAAAACAAATGAACAGTGAAGATAAATATAAGTGGCTCCATTCTGTTGTAAATAAATACTTATTATGAAGTATTATGTCCAGTCCATATATATCTGCTATACTGTTATATAACTGGTTGCACAGTAGGGTTTTTTTTTTTTTTTACCATTATTACCACAAAATGCATGAGTAATAAAATGTGCCATAACATGAGGACTGCCACAGTGTTACTAGGCAATAGGAATTTTTCAGCTTCATTATCATGTGGGGCCACCATTGTATATGCTTTCTGTCAGCTAAGATGACATTTTATGGTGCATGAATAATAATTTTGCAGGTAAGAAGTATTAGTGGATCCTAAAGTTAGGGTGAAGCATTTCCTCACAAAACACCTATCAGTTACAAAGGGAATAATTGGTGACTCCTTAGTGGAAAAATCAGGCAGACACTACTTCAGCCAAGCAAAGTTAAAGCCACCAGCAATGAAACATAGATATGTGTCCACCAAGTATATAATACACTGGTATTAGTGTCCAAAATGTATAAGCTGAATTCCAAATCATGAGAAACCTAGGACAAACCCCAAATGGGGGAAGGTCTACAAAATGGTTGACTAATGCACTTTCTGAAGGTGTCAAATTTGTAAAAATCAATGAGAATAAGGAACTGTTGAAGATTAGATAGATCAAGAAGGTATAACAAAATGCAGTGTGTGATTCTGAGCTAGGTTCCATGAAAATGGTTTTCGAAAAGGACATTAATGGGAGAATTGATAAAACCTGAATAAGGTCTGCAGTTTATACTGTTCTACAGATTTTAATTTCCTGGTTGATAACTGTCCTATGGTTATACAAGATGTCAGCATCTGGGGAAGATGGGTGAAAGGAACTTTGTATTACTGAAAACTTCTAGGTCTGAAATACTTTCAAAAGGAAGCTTAAAAAATCTTCATACCTTTGGTGTACTACTTCCATCTTTAGAAATCTATCGCAGGCACTCTAAAGTGTTTGTCCTAAGAAGACTTTGTTGAGCAAATTCTACTTTTTGATTTTTATCTCCTGAATCACAATGGTCTAGAAATATTTTGCTTTACTGATGGTCCAATTTAATTAAACTGGTTGTGAAAATAGTCTTTACAGCTTCCAGATGCTACAGAATAGCCAATTATGACTTTTCCCTTAAGAGCTGAAGAAAATCTTGCCAGTGAGACAGATGACTAGTCTCCTGTTGTAGTAGATGTTGGAGAATATGCAGTCTTTACCAGGTCAATAACTGAAGTGTGTACACACACACACACACACACACACACACACACACACACACACAGTAGATGACTATGGACTATGTCAAGCATCACAGCTTGCTCTCAGGTCAGATGACATTCCTTGTTGGCATACTCAGAAGAGGACTTCCAGGTGCAAAATGATATAGGTCGTCACCGGCCTTCTCTTTCTGAAACTTGTGAGAAGCCGATTGCATGAACATGCCAGATTCCAGAAAACCTCCAAATAGGAGTTCTAGTCAAGATGGCAGAGTAGGTGGATACTGTGCTCGCTCCTCCCACGACCACATCAAAATTACAACAAAATTATAGAATTATCAACCTGAAGAACCATCTGAAGACTAGCTGAACAGAAGTCCTACAACTAAAGATATAAAGAAGCCATGCTGAGACTGGTTGGAGAGGTGGTGACTCAAAACAAGGTGGCCCCAGGTGTGGTGTTTGAGAATCAGGAAGGCTATCTCAGCTACAGAGGCCCCACCTGAGGAGCAAGGGGTCCCAGCCCACACTGGGCTCTCCAGCCTGGAGCACCACTGCCCAGAAGAGGAGCCCACAAAGCACCTGGCTGCAAAAATCAGTGGTGATTCTATCCATCTGGGTGAGATGGAAGGCTGCTGGAAACCCAAGCATCCTTTTAAAGGGCCCATGCACAGACTCTCAGCCATCAGTCTGGGCTCTGGTACAGGGACAGCAGCTCAGGGGTGCTGGAGACATAGAGGAAGAAACACTCTATGTTTGTGTGTTGCGTGGCTTCAGGTTGAGGGCTGAAGGGTTGGCTGCCACTCCATGTGTTGAGCCCTCTTCCACACTGCCAAATCTGAATCTACAGTAGCCTTGTGAAGTCCACTCACTCCATTCTGATGACCTGGTGAGATCCATCCCCACCCAGCTTGTACACTGCCCAAGGCTCCTTCAGCAGCAAGAAGTCAGCGTTGGCCTGCGCTGCAGTTCTTAGAAAATTCTGAAAGCTCTGCAGGACTCAGGGGAGTTGGCTGGCCTTAGTATACCCTGTGACTTTTGCTGAGTGGCCTCAGGCTCAATACTGCCACCATGTCTGAATCCAAATTAACCTGAACACCACTCACCCCACACTGTTGACTCTCTGAAGCCATGCTTCACCCAAGTCTCCTACAGCCAGAGTATCTTTCAGTGGCTGAGCCTTACTGGCAGCAGCAAGTGGTGACAGACCTAGGGGGCCCTGTGTATTCTGCTGATCTGCTCCAGGACTGGAACTGGTAGCAGCCAGCCTTAGTTTGCAGCATGGCCTCTCCCACACACATCCAGATCCAACACAGGCAGCTACCAACCATGGATCACTTTGTAACCCTAACAGGTAGCAGCAGAATCTGATATTGGCCTGCACCAGAGGCCCTCCCAAGAGGCTCTAGAAACTACACACTGGTGGCTGGCTTCAGATCACAACAAGATACTACCTGGTGAACTCCACAAGTGGCATATCAAAAGGGTGGACTTAGCAGACATGAGACCCAGCTGGAGCAAATTCCACTTGGGTCAGCTCATGCACAGCAACTTATATAATGCGGTCATGTTGAGGCCAATAATCACAGCCAGTCAGCTTGAGGGTCAGTTCCACCCACTGATGTCAACAGCAATCAAGACTGAACTATAACAGAAGAGCGCACACAGCCCACACAGGGGACAATTCTGGAGTATCCAGCTCAGGTGATCAATAAGACTGTGTCACTGGAACACATAGTACAAATACTACATCAGGCCTCTCTGCCAAAACTGGATGGCATAAAAATATACCTAATACATAAAAACAAACAAGTGGAGGAGGGTAAAATGAGAAAATGAGGAAACACATCTCAAAGAACAGAGAAAATCTCCAGAAGAATAACTGAACAAAATGGAGGCCTGTTATGTGTTCATTTTCATTTGTTTCCTGAAACTTTTTGATTTCTTTCTTGATCTGTTAACCCATTCTTTGTTTAATAGCATGTTATTCAGTGTCCATGAATAGGAGTGTCTTTGAGTTTTCCCTTGAGGTTGGTTTCTAGTTATAAGCCATTGTGGTCCAAGAAGATGCTTCATATGATTTCAATTTTCTTCAATTCCTTGAAGCTTGTTTTGTGTCCTATCATGTGGCCTACCTTGAAAATGTTCCATGTGCATTTGAAAAGAATGCATATTTTGCTTATTTGGGGTGAATATGGGACACAGCACAGACATTCCTGAGAAGGAAGTTCATAGCAATACTGGCCTACCTAAAAAATAGAAAATTTTCAAATAAACAACCTAACCATACATCTATAAGAAGTGGAGGAACAACAACAAATAAAGCCCAGAAAAGGAGAAGGAAGGAAATAATCAAGATCAGAGCAGAATTAAATGACATAGAGATGAAACAAATAATGCAAATGATCAATAAATCTAGTAGCTGGTTCTTTGAAAAGATAAACAAATCAACAAGCCTTTAACCACACTCATCAAGAAGAGATGACCCAAATAAATCAGAAATGAAAGAGGAGAAATTTATAACTGATAACACAGAAATACAAAAAATTGTAAGAAATTACTATGAAAACTACATGCCATGAAATTTGAAAACCTGGGTAAAATGGACAAATTTCTAGAAACATATAATCCTCCAAAACTGAATCAAGAAGCAGAAAGCCTGAACAGACTGATAAGAGCTAGTGAAATTGAAGCAGTAATCAAAAAACTCCCAGCACACAAAAGCTCTGGACTGGCAGGTTTCACAGGAGAATTTTACAAAACATTTAAGATAGAGCTAACCCCTGTCTTTCTCAGACTGTATCAAAAAATCCAAGAAGCGCAAGACTCAAAACCCTTTTTATGAAGTCAGCATCATCCTGATCCCAAAACCAGATAAAGACCCAAGAAAGAAAGAAAACTACAGGCCAATATCTCTGATGAACATAGATGTTACTTTGGTTTCTCAGCAGAACATTCATCCAAATAGTAACTTCAATTCAAAAGGAATAGGAGAACTATGCATTATTAGAATAATGGCAATTCTAATGTTAAAACAAGAAATAGCAGTAAACAAAGTGGAACACCTTAGTTAATTTGGGTCCACACTTAATCTTATACTGGAGACTAAAGCTATTTTGTCAGTCAATAATCATTCTCCTGTGCAGAACTAATCAGAATTACACCTCCACTCAGTTCTGTATACTAACCTTAAGCTAACACTAAGTCTAAGACTTAAACATAACATAATATATGCTACTTAACCAAGAGTTAAGGTAATATCTTTCAAAATATCAGCTAATGAAAAGAGTGTACTGCAGTAGCAAACATGGTTTCTTCTTGACCCTTAAGGGAACTCCCCATTACTTAGTGGCACTCATTGAAAAGTGCAGTTAACATTGTGTTGCCAATATATACTCCGGAATTTAAATGCTGAACCTGTTTTAACTGGTAAACACTCATATCTGCTCCTCTAATGAATACATGCCAAACTTGGCTTCTACACACAACTTTAAGCATTCATTAGATTAAAGGGAAATTAATATCCACGTTCAACTGCTTAGTCATACCATAATATTCACTGAAATCTTACCTGACTCCAAAATACACCGTATAGCTAAGGATGACCTCCATTCTAATGGTAAGACAAGCAGTAACACTGGACAAAGCGTAACTGTTAGTTAATTCTCTTGTGTAACCTAAAGCTTGAAACCAAGACTGACACTGTCTTTAACTTGTATAAGAAAACAACAAAATTGAATTTAATATTCAATCTGTTATACAAGCCAACAT